TGGGAGGCCGAGGCGGGCGGATTGCTGGAGGTTAGGAGTTCGAAACCAGCCTGAGCAAGAGCGAGACCCCGTCTCTACTATAAATAGAAAGAAATTAATTGGCCAACTAATATATATATATATAAATTAGCTGGGCATGGTGGCACATGCCTGTAGTCCCAGCTACTCGGGAGGCTGAGGCAGAAGGATTACTTGAGCCCAGGAGTTTGAGGTTGCTGTGAGCTAGACTGATGCCATGGCACTCACTCTAGCCTGGGAGACTCTGTCTCAAAAAAAAAAAAAAAAAAAAACTATATAAAGTAGATCAAGCTAGCTTTAGTAGCCTCACTTCACAGATGAGGAAATTGACATCTGGTGAATGGGAATGCTATGGTGGTATTATAAATCAGTATATTTGTGTTGGAAAGTGCTATGATTTGAACGTGTCCCCCAAAGTTTATGTGTTAGAAACTTAATCCCCATCGCTACAGTGTTGAGAAGTAGGACCTTTAAGAAGTGATTGGATCATAAAGGCTCTGCCCTCATGGATGGATTAATGCCATTATTCAGGGAGTGGGTTCCTTATAAAAAGGTAAATTCAGCCTCCTTACTCTCTCCTTTTCTATCTCGCTCTCTCTTTCTCTCATGCACACACGCACGTGTGCTGTTCTTTATAAATTACCCAGTGTCAGGCATTCTGTTATAGCAGCACAAAATGGTTGGAAAGTAATTTGAGCACACATACAGCAACTTAAAAAGATGCATATTCTTTTGCCCTACTGATTCCGCTTTGGAGAAACTGTTCTAAGAAGAGAATCCAAACATATATGAAAAGTTGTATGCCCAGAGACATTTATACCAATATTATCTGAAATAACAATAACTGGAAAATATACCAACATTAAAGAGATTAAGGAAACTATGGCACACTCACTCCATAGACTGTTACAGAGCAAATAAAATGATCTTTTAGCAAAAGGTTTTTAACTAAATGGGGACATGATAATACATAATGTCAAATAAAAAAAATAAATTATTTATGCGCCAGTAGTGTGGTCACAACTAGAAAAGAAAAAGTCCTAATGTTAACAGTGATTGCCTCAGGGTATGGGATATTGATTTACTATTAATATTATAATAATGATAATAATTTTAAAGTAACATCTGGAATAATTACAATGTCAGACACTGATCTAGGCATTTTGCATGTATTCATTCATTTAACATAACACCCCTATAGGACAGGAACTGCTATTACAGAAGATGCTGAGGCACAGAGAGGTTGAGTAATTGCCAACAGTCACACAGTAAATGCCAGCCAGAGCTGGGCCGCAGACCCAGGCTTTCTAGCCTTCGAGTCCACACTCGCCCACAATACTCTGCTGCCCCTCTCTGACAGCTAACAAGTACAGAGTGCTTCCTAGATGCTTTGGACTGCATGTTTGTACACCTCCTACCTCCCCAAAATTAATATGTTGAAATCAGGGTGGAGCCCTCATGGTGGAATGATCTTATTAGAAGAGACAGGAGAGAGCTTGTTTTTTCCCTCTCACTCTCCACCATGTGAGGATAAAACCAGAAGATGTCCATGTGCAAACCAGGACACTGGATCTGCTGTGAGGAATAAGTGTTGTTTAAGCCACCAGTCTGCGGTATCTTGTTATAGCAGTCTGGACTGACTAAGAGACTAGGTCTCTAGTTCTTGCCTACATCATCTCATTTGATTCTCCTATCAACTATATAAGGAATATGCTATGATTATTCCTATTTTACAGATAAAGAAGCTGGCATTTACTTGCTCAAGGTCCCACATTGCTAACCCAGGCAGGCTGACTCCAGAACCCTTGTATTTAACTACTACAATGAACTGCCTATTTTTTTCTTATTATTCATTTCTGTCCTTTCCTAAACTCTCTGCAATGAAGATACTTTTCACTATGATTTCACTTAGGTGTCACCTAACTATGGCCTGAAATCTAAGTCCAGCCTGCTGCCTACTTTTGTAAATAAAGTTTTATTAGAACACACAATGTCCATGTGTTTGTGTATTATGCAGCTGCTCTAGCTATAAGGGCAGAGTTGGGTAGTTGAGATACAAGCCATATAGCCCCATGAACTCTAAAAATTTACTATCTGTCCCTTTATAGAAAAAGTTTGCTGACCCTTGAGTTAATTGATCATTGAGCTTGTTAGAATAACAGGGAAGCTAGGATCCTGATCGTCCAAATATCAATTGCTTGGAGGGAAGTAGGTGACAATGGCAACAAGGAAGCATGACTCTGCATACATCTGTATGTGTGATATAGTCATGCCCCAAATCTGCAGTAGCCTTCTCTCTGACCCGGACAGGGCAGCAGATCTAGAGCGAAGAGTATGAATAGCATGTTGTTTTCACCTCTTAACTTTCCATCAAAGCCTGGACAATCACAAAAGTGGCAATGAATGAATCTTGGGTCCTTTGCAAATTGCCAACTTTAAAACCACTCTGAAAGACTTGGGTGTGGCCACAGGATAAAAAATTTGAGCAAACAAGTGAGAATTGAGAGTGTTTTTAAAGAGCATTCCAGTCATTTCAGAAGTTTCTCATCTAAACAGAAATGCAATAAATGGACAGACACGCCCTTTAGAACTAGAAGAATCTTCCTGCCAAAGTTCTGCCTTGGGGCATTCCAATTTTGGAGAGAGGAGGGATAATATTTAACACACCCTGAAGTTGAAGCAAGGTGTCCAGGGGGCTAAAGAACAGCCTGAGGAGAGTAAAACTAAGCTACCAGTAACTGAAAGACTGGAGCCAAGTCAGGTTTTGTACTAGATCAATGTCTGTCCCCTCAGGCTGGGGATGTTCTTATAACCACAGAAAGAAGATGAGAGAAAGAGAGAGAGAGAAAACACATCCTTTGAATACTGCTGTATATTTTACACACTGTGCTATATCATTTTAACACATTATCTCACAACATGTATTGGTGCTATCCCTAATTTACAGGTGGGGAAATTAAGGCTCTGAGAAGCCAAAGAATATGCTCAAGGTTACACTCCTAATAATAACAATAAGAAACACATACCGAGTGCTCCGCAGTATAGTGGCTTAGAGGATGGACTGGATTCAAGACCTCAGGGTTTGTATCTCTACTCTGCCATTTACCCTGAGCAGCATCTCTATGGTTCACTTTCTTCACCTGGAGAGTAGGGATAATGACTACACCCTCCTCACAGAGCAGACAGGAGAATTAAATGAGTGAATTTGCATAGTGCTTAGAACACCGTCTGGCACATAGTGAGTACAATATAAATGTTTAAGTTAAAACTGTGTGCCGGGTCATGTCCTATATGTGCATTATTCGTGTAATCCTGACAACCCTATAAAATAAATACTCCTACACCCCTCATTTTATAAATGAAAAACCCGAGACCCTGAACGAACAAGTGATTCTCTCAAACAGTAGCACTTGACCAAGGGTCAAATGCAAATAACCTAACTCTAAAAAAAAGTCTAAAGCTGACACCCTTAGCCCTGTCGCCGTACTGCCGCTAGATCTAGGGAGAAATGGGAGTCTGTCTGTTTCTAATGCTCATAGGTGTTTCAGGACGTGGCACCCTCCTTGGTGCTCTGCAGCTCTGCCTGAGCACATGTTTCATCATGGAAGATCCAAATTGGTCCCCAAGCCTCAGATCTGGCTCACCTTCCCGGTCACCATCTATCTGCTGTCTGGATTTGTCCTATGCCTGGACCTGAATCAAAGGGTTCTATCTTTATCAGCCTTCTGAGGCTGTGTGTCATTTTTATAGTAACTGCGAGAGACCTTGCTCAGAATAGTTTCCAGCGGGACTTTTTTAATGCCTTCAACGTGCTCTGAGAAGAGGATAGGCCAGGAAGAAAACCCGGCAGAAGACTCTATAGTAAAGGGGAGAAGTCATGGCAACTGGAATCTAAGGATGAGGTTTAAGACCTGCGTATTAGTTAGCTCTGGCTTCCATAACAAGGCACCCCAGACTGGATGGCTTAAACAACAGAAATTTATTTCCTCAAAATGCTGGAGGCTAGAAGTCCAAGATCAAGGTATTGGCAGGGTTGATTTCTTTCCTTGGCTTATAGATGCCCATCTTCTGTCTCTCTCTTCATGTGGTCCTCTATTCATGTCTATGTCTTGATCTTCTCTTGTTACAATAACATCAGTCATATTGGATTAGGGCCCACCCTAATGACCTAATTTTAGGTCATTGCCTCTTCAAAGTCCCTATCTCCAATTATAGCCATATTCTAAGGCACTGAGGGTTAGGACTTCAATTTTCTAATGAGTGGGGCACAGTTTTGCTTATAACAACCTAGCTCCACCAATTTTTAGCTGTATGACTTTGGACAAGACATAATTGCTCCAGTATTTATTTTCCCTCAATCTGTAAAATGGAACATGAGTAATACCTACCTCTCAGGATTGTTGTCAAAGGTAAAAAAAAGTTTTCTAAACTACTGTACCACATTTGGACCTGCAAATTTATCTTGCCTCCCAAAACTATAGAAACACAGGGATAATGGTATTGCTTAGAATCCCTGTCTAATTTTGGACATTATACTTTAATGTTGGAGCATAGGCAAATCGGAGTAACCAACTGAAAGGCAACAGTGATGAAGGGTCTGGAGGAGAGGCCATAGAAGGAACTGTTAGGTAAACCAGAATATTTAGCTTGAAGAAGAAAAGATAAGGAGGAGGAATTCAGAGAATTTCCTTCAAATATTTGTTTACTGGCCAGGCACAGTGGCTCAGGCCTGTAATCATAGCATTTTGGGAAGCTGAGGCAGAAAGATTGCTCAAGACCAGGAGTTTGAGACCTGAGCAACATGGCAAGACTATGTCTCTACAAAAAATTAAAAACTTAGCCAGGCCTAGTGTTGGGTACCTGTAGTCCCAACTACGTAGGAGGCTGAGGTAAGAGGATCACTTGAGCCCAGGAGTTCAAAGTTACAGTGAGCAACGATTGCACCACTGCACTCCAGCCTGGGAGACAGAACGAGACCCTATCTCTAAACATACAAAATAAAAAAGTATATATTTGTTTACATTATGGTGAAAAGGAGATGGAATTAGTCTATTTGGTTTCAGAGAGAAGATCCAATGATACAAATTTATAAGGTGGACAATTTGTGTCCAATAACAAGAAGAGTTTGTAACATTTAGAACATCTAAAGTTGAGGTACTAAGTTTCCTATCTCAGAAGGTGTAGGTCCCAGGGGCTTTTTTGAGCATCTACTTTGCCAAACACAGTGATAAGTAACTTCACATCAAGTGGAGTAAAGAGGATAGGTCCTGCCTTGGGTAAGAGGTTGGAATAACTGGCCTCTGAAATCTCTCCAGTTTTGAGGTTCTTTCTCCAAAAAATTATATTGCCTATGAGAAACAGAAATTCACATAAGCAAATTTAGTTAATGGAGGCATCCTACAAGGAAACAGGATTCGTATAAAATTTACTGCAAACAGTATAAATGCCCCAAAAGGACAGGGACTGGAAACTAAAAAATTTTCAAAGATAGAAGTAACTTTTCTCTTATTATGCATGGCTCCCACATGGCCCCCTTAGTCTCAGAATCCAGTTCACCTTCCAGGTCCAGCACACTCAACTAATCAACTAAAACTTCTGACTTCCAACTCCAAAGGAACTGAGCTCGAGTTGGTGCAATGAGCTATGGCAAGGACAGGCTGGGATGGAGAGGTTGCATGTTTTGGGGAGCTGTAGTAACTCACCCTTGTTAGAAGTGGGCCAAAGCTTTCAGAGCACAGAATGTGGGCTGGGTAGCTGCACTAAATTATATTTGGCATCAGGATTTCTCACACATCTAGATAGAGATTTTAGGCCTTTTCAGAGATTTTGACTTAGTAGATAGTGGGTAGGGTTTGGGAATCTATGTTTTTTTAGTTGCTCTCTTAGGTGATTCTAACATGAACCACTGTACTACATTTTGACTCTATACTTTATGTCGTTAAATTTCCCATTTCTCAGTCAAAATGCACCCTTTATTTCATAGGAATGTATTTGAGCCTCTCATATGACGTGTATAAAATTAGACCCACTCTAATTTTGTCGTATATCCCCAACTTAGTTCTGTAGTCCTGGAGAGCACAGATTATTTCTTCCTCATATTGTCAAGTCCTATAGCATTTAACACTGTGCCTGGCACAGTGTTGACTATCTATAGAGTCAATATAGTTCTGAGAATGTACAGAAAGGTACATTAATAGGATGTTTTCCATCTCCCCAGACTAGGCAGGGAAACCCACTCAAGAAATGCCTAATTGCTCTGTGATTCGACATAGCTGGGTAGTCAGGCTGGGATGAGGGTGATTAATTACAAGCGGCATGCTGTGCTGCCCCAGAGGCTGGTAGCCTGTGTTACACAGTCAATTAGCTACCAGACACAATCATCTAGGTTGTTATTTATTACTGGGTATGTCTGAGCAGTGGATCCTGTGAGGCAGAGAACAAGTGAGGGGATCTGTCACTGTGGGCCTCCAGGAAAAACACCCAGAAAACGTGGGGGAGGACCGGGGGCCCCTGAGCAGGGGACATTCTCCCCAAGCCAGGCAGCTGGAAAGGTTCCAAGTCCTCCCACCTACAGCTCTCAGTACACAGATGAGGAGGAACTAAACGAATTTAGGTCGACCAGCATGTGCAAGGCACCAGGGAGGCCTCAGGGGTAGAGAACACAGAAATGAGAAGTTTGGTGGGTAAGAAAGAGACATACACTAGAGAAAAAGAGAGATCACAGCCAAAACTTCAAGTAGAATTACCTGGCTGCAGTAGGTGGGCTGTAGATGGGAAATCAAAAAGCAGATCATGAGTGGTGCGGATCATCGTTGTTGGAAAAGCAAAAGGACATGACTTTGGACAGGGTGGTCTGGAAGGAGGTGGAATTCCAGTCTGGTAGAGGGAAGGAAATCACAGGAGAGAGGGGAAAGAAGTAAGTTTTAAACACCATGTACACCTCCTCTCAGACATTGGACTAGACATTGCAAAATACAGTGCTGCGACGTAGTAGAAACAGCATGGATGTTGAGGCCAGACTCAACCTGACTTTGAAAATCCTGATTCTGCCACTTACCTTGGGCTCATTTCCTAGCCCATCTGGGACTATTTCCTAATCTGCAAAAATGAGGAAAAGACCCCTGTCTCAATGTGTGGTTTCTAAGATGAATTGAGATAACCATGTGTGTGGAACACCTGGCGGGTGTTCAAAAAGTGGTAGCTCTTGTTATCATTTTGGCTGTTCCAAACAAATCCACAAAACTGGCTCATCCATTCTACAGATGAGAAAACTGACACATAAAGAAATCATGTGATTTATCCAAGTTAGAAGCTGATACGCAGCAGAGTCAGAATTTAAACTCATGTTTGTTTGCATGCCAAAATGCATGCCTTTCTCAGTATATCTTGAAGAGAATAGGGCAACACAGGATATATTTAAAGGAAAATGAGTCCAACATTTTGTGGGGAAGTGAATGTTCCTGGAAAGGAGTGTGCTTACTCCTGCTAACAAATTAGTCCAGGATGACACTCATTATTGCAGGAGTCCTCAAACTTTTTAAACAGGGGGCAGTTCACTGTCCCTCAGACTGTTGAAGGGCCGGACTATAGTTTAAAAAAACTATGAACAGAACATTGGGAGAACATCAGAAGACACGAAGAGAACTGTAATACTAGGTGTGCTGAGCCTGCAGTGGAAGAATAAAGGCTGTTCTCCAAAAAAAAAAAAACAAAAAAAAACCTATGAACAAATTCCTATGCACACTGCACATATCTTATTTTGAAGTAAAAAAACAAATGGGCAAAAACAACCGCATGTGGCCCGTGGGCCGTAGTTTGAGGACACCTGCATTACTGGCTTCAATTGCTTTGAGCTTTCTGCCCATTTCTTCCTACCTCTGCCCTGTGCCTCACCCTCCTGCATCTCTGTCTTGTCACTTCCTCTGGACTCTGCCACTCTGAGTGGCCTCACTTCCCATGGCTTCTGTTGCTTTCTACCACCCTGATGCCATTGTACATGCTCCTGAGGGTCCAGGCAAGCTTGGAAATATCTTGGAGAACTTCCTTCCTTCTTAATGAATTGAGTAGGGCTCCACAATAGAATTTTCTAGGTTTTGGAGACTTGAGAGATACAGCTCTGTAATGTCACACTTAGCCCTTTTTCTCCATAAGGGGTTCCTAAACCAGAAGAAAAGCAGAGAGAACATATTTAAGTACCAGTGCCCTAGAAAATTCAGAACAGCAGCTCCCCTGAGATCCTTGAGCCCTGTAGCAAAGACTATTCCTTAGGCTACACTCCTGCCATTGTCCATTCATCACCATTTGCATTTTTGCCCATAAAGCCCTACTATATGAAACCTGTGCCCACTTGCATTTGAGTCCTAGGAATTGGGAGTCAATTCTATACTAGGCTCTTCAACTTCTAAGTAAATTATCACAAGTAAATACCATGAGGTGTTTGCCTAGAATCTCTTCCCAGTGGCTGCTGAATATCAGTTCTAGTGCAGATGTTTGCCATGTTGCAATATTATTATTGTTATTACTTTTTAAAAACTCCTCTCACTATCATTCCCAATACTGTTAATCACTTTTTAAGGTATCAGATATACATGCTAATTTTCTCAGACAGGAAATTCAGATAATAACAATGATTCTCCTCTTCCTCCCCCTCCTTTTCTTCCTCCTCTTTCTTTCTCTCTCTCTCTCTTTTTTTTTTTTCAGTAGGACTAGTGGTATGTCTGGATCTGCCAAATGGAAATTTCTACCGTTGCCTCCAAACATGATAATGGCTAACATGGGGCTGAACATTCCCTAAACCAGGACTTAAGGGAAACTTAGAATTAAACTTTCAAGTGGCCCACCTAGGGCAGAAGCAGTCCTTGAACCTTGAACACTCGTACATGGGGATGATAACTTGAGGCTCTCCTGTTCGAGCAGTGGTTCTCAAATTGTATAATAGCATGCATCAGAATTACTGAGTTTCTCATTCAGTAGGTTTGGGGCTGGGTCCGAAAATTTGCATGTCTACCAAGTTTCTTCTACTAAGATGCTGGTGGTCTGGGAACCACTTTTAGAACCACTCTATTAGAAGACCTCTCTACTTCTACATTGCTGAAATTTAACCAGCTCTATTTGGGCTCTGGGAGGCTACCTACCACCCCTTCTGCTCTTAGTTAGGGCCAGGAATGGTTTCTAGTTGGCTCTTCCTGCATTGATTTTTTCCACAAATGGTAGAAAACAATCTCCCTTTGAAAGTCAACTGAGTCTGGCAGGGGAAGGGGTGAGGAAGGCAACACACTTTTAACCTAAACATTTGTACTCCCATAATATGCTGAAATTTAAAAAAAAGAAAGAAAGTCAACTCAAATAGTAGCAAAAAGGGTCCGTATTTAAACATGCTTCAAAAAGAGCTGACTTCTCAGCCTGAAAAAGCTCATTTAAGTTCAATAGGTGGGAGAATGTCTAGTGTGTAAATTCTATGGAAGTCTTGTCTAACAGAGAAGGCCAGTACGGAGATACTATTAGATATATCATGTTGCTTTTTCTTTAGGGTTATCATGTAAAAGGGGAGATTTTAACCTACTTGGCCACTTCATATTTATTAACTACCCTCTCCCCCGGTACCTTATTTGGTATGTTCATGCTGTCATGGCCAGTGGCTAGATCTGGTACATTTGGTTTTTCTTTAATACAACTGAGAACACTGACCTGTTTAGGGAAAGAGGATGTTGAAAGGTGAAAGAGGTTTCCCCCTAATTTTACTCAGAGGCTGAGACTACATGGATTCCTTCTCCATAGGATTCCACCTAAGTGTGAGTACCCTTGAATAGGGGCTCTCCATCCAGAACCTAGCGCCTCAGCAACCCTGGGCATCTTGCGACCCTGAGCAAGTGTTTCCTGTCACAGTGTACACCACAGGATATGAACAGATGTAAATTGGGAAAGGAGTTTCAGAATCAAACATGTTTGGAAAATGCTGGATTCACTAAACAGGCTTGTTTACTATAGGACTTTTCAGAGCCTTTATCGTGGATCTCTTAAGAGGGGGATAATTCTGTAGAAATCCTTTATTTAGTTTTGAATAGGCAATACAGTCACACGGTTCAAAATTCAAAATGTATAAAAGTATATAGACTCTGGAATCTTCTCTTCCTCGCTCAATTCATCCCATCACAAGCAATGTTGTTTTCTTGTGTATCCTTCCAGAAATATTTTATTCATGTATAAAACATATGCATACATATTTTTTCTTTCTATTTCTAAAAAAAGTGGTAGCACATTACAAACATCTAATTTTTCTCTTACCAAACATTTTTTCCACGTTGCTATGTATAAAACTATCCTTATTTTTTAATGGTGCCATAGTATTCCATTTCTTGGTTATATCAGTTTTATCTTTCATGAATATGTATTTTTTTCTAATTTTAAGCTTTTAAAAACATTGCTGCAATAAATAATCTCATACATACATAATTTTACATGTGTGGGATAAATTCCCAGAAGTGGAATCCCCATGTCAAGGTATACATACAGAGTGTGTGTGAGTCTCATGTCAAATTTTTGGAGCTTTGATAAGTATGTTTTTTTTTTCCATGTAGCTGTAATTTGCATTTTTCTCATTATGAGTGAGGTTGAACATTCTTTTACATGTTTAAAAGCCATTTATCCTTTTCTGTGAACTTTTTATGATCTTTTCCCTTTTCCCATTGGGTTCTTGGGTTTTTTAAAATTGTTTTATAAGACCTACTTTTGTATTAGAGAAATTAGCCCTTTGTTATATGAGTTAAAAATATTTTTCCCAATTTGTTCTTTGCCTTTTCTCTTTCATTATGGCATTTTTGACATTCTAGGACTTTTAATATAATTAAAATTATTTTTTTAGGATTTTGAATTTTTAAAATTATAGTTATATTTTCCTGCTCTGAAATTATTAAAAAATTCTTCAACCACTTCTTTTAGTATTTTTGTTTTCATTTTTACATTTAAATAGTTGATTCTTTTGAAGTTTATAGTGTGGCAAAGAGTGATTTATATATCCATTTTTCCCCAGATGATTAACTGGATGTACTAACAATTACCAAATAATCCTTCTTGTCACCAATGATTTGAGATACCACCAATTTAATTGTTTATTCAGTTCCCATGCATGCTTATGTCAACTTCCAAACTTTTAATTATTATGTGGATCATTTTCCATTCATCAATAGCATAGTTTTAATTATTAAGGGTTTATAGTATGCTTTAATTTGTGGTGGTTCTTGTTCACTTGTCAGGCTTCTTTTTGAGAATTTTCCTGGATGTACATTTTTGTTTATTTTTCTGAATGAATTTTGGAACTAGCTTATCTGTTTCAAAAAAGAAAAAAACAATCCAACTGGTATATTTATGGAATTATTTTTAATCTTATAGATTACCTACTGAGAATTGACATCTTTTTGAGGTTGTGGCTTCCTTTCCAACAATAAGAGATTCTTTTCCATTTGTTCAAGTCTTTTTGAATCCTTCAAAAGAGTTTTAAACTTTTCATCTTATAGATCTCATATGTTTCTTGTTAAATTTATTTCTAGATATTTCATCTTTTGTTACTATGGTAAATGGGATATTTTCTGCTATAATGTAAAACTTTTTTTGGAAATTTTATGGGACTAATGGTTTGTGGGGCCACTTTGGGCAATTCTACTCAACTTTGTGCAGCTCCTGTATTCTAATTAATGTGTGTCCTAGAAGGGAAATGAGACGTTTCCATAGAGGATCCAGAGACCTTATGAGGAAGGGGAAGAGGAAGACCACTCTTTTGCCTTTGGAAGGATTAGGTAGTTTTGGTCATATTCTGTCTTGTATAGAAGCACTCATAGAATATCTGAACTGGAAGATTGCAGAAAGATCAAGTGATTAAATCCTCTAATGTGGAAGATGTCTCGCATGGCATGCCTTTTTAGTCTCTTTCATTTGGAGGTCTTTAATTTTTTTTTTAAGTTTCATAACATTTATCCTTTTGAATATTACAGTAGTTATTCCATAGAATGTCCCTCAATGTGGGACACATGTCTGATATTTTCTCATGATTAGATTCAGGTTATGTATCTTTGGCAAGACTATTCCAGAAACAATGCTATATTCTTTTCGTTGCATTCTATCATGGGGGATTTCTATTTGTCCCATTACTAATGAAATTCACACTGATCCCTTGATTACAATGGTGTCTGCCAGGCATCTCCACTGTGAAGTAGATTTTCCCCTTTAGCAATAGAATTTTAAGTAAAAATAGTAAGAGATTATAAGTAGTATAATACCCTTTTGTAATGTTAAAAATAACTATTGTTTTTAAAAAATGTATTAGGAATACATATAGAGGAGATATAATCATACTAAAAGGAAAACAAAGGAATAATGAACACAGAACTCAGGTTGGAAACTATGTTGAGTGGAAGGAGGTGGGGAGAAAGGAGGGGAAAGAATGCATGGGTATATGCAAGTTATTGCCAAGTTTCTGGTGTTTGTGTTTGGGCGGCAAGTTCAGAGAGGTTTATTATATATTGTTAAAAATGAACAAGGTAAGAAGAGTAAAAGAAGACCACGACTACACCAATAAGAGTGAGTCAAAACCATGGATTATGATTAATCCAATTCTATGAACTTAAGGTCCAATTAAAAAAAATCGAACAGATTGTTTAATAGGTAGGTAGGGGAACAATATTGGGTAGTATAAGAGAAATTCTAAAATCACTCTCATAACCACTGCCCCCAGCTTGTATGAAGAGAGCCAACACTCCAAATCCTTCTACTCCCTTGGTCATGACTGATTGGTTTGAGTCCAGAGAACACACTGTATAGACCCAGGAAAGCCATAAAACTTAAGAGTATTTTGATAATAAAATATAGGAAAATTCATTTTCCTGGAGCAATTTTGCATTGCCAGAAAATTTGCATTTTTCCACTTTTATTTCCCTTTTGCAGGCACACATATGAGCTTCCCAAGCCGCTACCTCCTTCATTGCCTGGCTCTTGAATGCATGAGTTTTGCACAGTTGACACAGATAGGACTTTATTGGAAAAAGTCCTGAGTCTGAATCCCAGTTGAATCTATAATTGCTGAGTGTCACAGGCAAATTATTTTCCTTCTATGGGCCTGAGTTTACCTAGCTGGGATTATACACCCTCTTCTTTATACCCAGAGATTCTGATTTTGTAAGTCTAGGGAGAGTCTAGGCAGGTATATTTTTAAAAAGCTATTCAGACAAGAATCATCATGTTTGTTGACTTCTGCATCTTATTCACACACCAATGTTTTTACTCTAATGGTTTAATGCTTTTGTTTTTCTGGGTTTTCCACTCTGTGGTGGATGCCCATTGAGTTGAGCCTTTCTTTGGGAAATGACCACATGCCACAAATTGGCAGGTAAATTTCTGCCCTGTGATCTCACCCTTAGCTGTAGCCAATTTGTCTAGGGGTTGCTACCTGACTCAAAATAGGTCAATTATCATCTCTTTCCTGGGAATTTGGGAGTGGGACAAAGAGATTCCAGTCTCCATCTAGTCATTTTCATGAGTCTCAAAGGAGATTTCTGCATTGTAAGATTGAGTAGGAGAGAAAAATTTCAGAATGCTGTTGATATACTGAAAGGAGAAGACATGGCAGGTGGGAAGTGCACACTGAGCTCTCAATTGTTTTCAATTTCTTGGTTCCATTCCCTAGAGATGCCTGGCTTCTTTCCTGCATTTGGATAGATGACACGATGAGATAATAAAGTCTTCTTCATTTTGTTTAAGTTGCCTCCTTAGAGATAATTTGCACAGTGCTTACTCTCTCCTGTCCACTCCTTGGCTCAGCTTTCATCCTGGACTGGAAGAATTTCACTTGGGTTAATAGCTATGGGTAGAAAACAAACTGTTGAACTGGGGGGGTAGGCGCAGGGAAATCAGAGGGGTGTAAGAGTAAGTACAAATTCTTAGCTTGTCATAGGAAGATAGATACTTATTATTTCTACACATTAGAAAAAATACATTTGAATACGTATGGTGAAAGTTTCAGGGTAACCACTGGAAAGATGGATATAAAATACATATCTTTCAAATAAGTATAGTAAAACAAAATGAACAGAAAAAGTTTTAGACCTTTTGATATTACCAATCTCCCCATTAAAAAAAATAAAAATAAAAACAAGAAGTCTCCTTTAGTGAAAAGAGCAATGATATTAAATCAATAATAAGAAATATACTTTTGTCCTATCAAACTGACAAACAAAACAAATAAATAAAAATGGTAATGTCTAGTGTTGTGTAGGGCATGAAGAAATGAGCTCTATATGAACTGTGTGTGAATATATATTGCTTCAGTATTTTCAGAAGGAAATTTGGCAACCTATGCCAAAGCCATGATTTATATACTGTATTTTGACTTTTAACCTCAAAATTCCACTTCTAAGAATGTATCCTAAGAAAAGAATTAAGAATGTCATTTAAAGTATTCATTCTAGCATGAAAATATTAAAATAATCTAAATGCCCCAAATTATGATATTGCTATAATAAATCATGCTATTTTCATACTTTGGAATACCATGCAGTCATTATCCATTATATTGTAAGTTAGTACTTATTAGCATCAAATGGAAAGACATTCACAAATAGTTTAAACAAGAAAGAGCAAGATGCAAAGCAATACTGAGTTTTTATAAATTAATATGTATCTCTATGTGCATAGAAAAATGTTAGAAAGGATTCACACCATGGTATTAAATTCTATGTGTTTTTTTTTCCAGTAATAAGCTTTATGTTCATTTTCTTCTTTTTGTCTGTCTTCTACAGTGTAACCTTTAATGATAATAATACTCTTTCAACAGTGACTTAGAGTTGACCCAGAGCTTTCCTGTTCGTAATTCCATTTGAGCCATTTAACAGCCCAAGAAGTTCAGCAGGTAAAATATTATCATCATCCACTTTTACTCATGAGAAAACAGACAGAGTGACCAAGGGGCAGAACTGGCTTTCATCCTCAGGATTTCGTCCTCTAGGGCCGGTACTCCTTCCCCCGTCCTGTGGGAGAACAGCACTGTGGAAGTGCCTACATACTCAACAACAGGTTAAGCAAATGGAAATATCAATAAGCTGTCATGTGGCACATTAAACGTACGTGAGTCTGTGGGCACAATAGGAAAGAATGCTAAGTAAGAACAGAAGGAAACCACAAGGCACATGCATAGGATTGTAGCAGTGTAAAAAAGTGTGGATACGCACACACATGTGTACATGTGGGGGACATAATCATCTTGGGAGTTCGGGAGTGCATTTATAGGAATATTAAAAGAGTTTGGCATTTTCTGTGTAAAATTTTGAAAGTGCATTACTGGGCAGCGTATGTAGAACTAAGTTTTGCTAAAATACATGGGCAAGCCAGAGGATACAAAGTCAGATAAAATCAAATAGAAGAAAGGGGAAGGGATTGGAATGAAGGGTGTGGGGAGGGTGACCAATTTTTCTGGTTTGCCCTGGACAGAGAGGTTTCTGGGATCAGAGATTTTTAGTGCTAGAACTGAGGAAGTCCTGGACAAAGTGGGACAAGTGGTTTGCTCTAGTACAGAGGAGTTGGGAAGGAGTTGAGGCAGAGCTCAAATATTCAGAAAGCCAAAAAATCAGTGAGCAGGGCAGAAAGCTCTACAAAGCCTGTAACCTTCTGTAACTTCCTTTATTCAAGGAGGCAAAGGTTTGCAGTTGTGTATTGGCTGCTTGAGGGAGACAGCAGTATTTCCCAAATGGTCTCCAGACTCTATTCACCATAGAGCTCAGCAGTTGAAAGCCATCAAATTTAGCATCTGATACCCTGGGTTTACGATCTGGCTCTACTGCTAATCTGGCTAAGTGACCTGGGGCAAGTTGCCTAACCTTTCGTTACTTCAATTTCTTCATCTTTACAATGGAAATAATCATACTCTCACCTTATAAAGTTGTAATGAGCATTGGATGAGATTATGCTGTTGTTATTAAGACAATCACCCCTAACCTGGAAACAACAGTGGCACCAATGGAGTCTGTGGGCATTTGCATTCACCGTCTAGGCACCAAAGTCATTCCATATAAAAAATGGTCTTCTGATCTCTAATTCTCATCCCAACTACTTCTGATCCTGCTCATAATTCACACTGACCTCTCCACCCTGCAATCTGCCCCATGCCAGGCTCTTTCTCTGCACTTTATCCCTTAGAAGAATCCTTAAGCTCCATCCCTTTTTAATGAAAACACCATTCCATTCCTCACCCTCAAAAGAATCCACCTCCTCCAGGGAACATGCTTGTGTATTATTAGCAAGGACCTTCTAGGGACAGCGTATCTTAACTGAGAGGCACCATGGGGTTTGGGAATTATGCTTCCTAGGCCCTTCCACTCAGGCCTTCCCACTATTAGATTAAGATGAAAGCTGGTCCTGCTTGCTCTGCCTAGGACTTGGTCTTCAGGGGGCCTGAGAGATGAAGCTCAGCCATAATTAGGTCAAACCTGAATTGGGCAAGTGCTTGGCAAGTATAGCCACGAGTGGAGGGGAAGGAATGAAAGTAGGAAAAGGAAGCTAATTTCTGAGCTGAGCACTGGGAACCTCAATCCACAACTGGTTTTTAATTTTTGGAAATGCCTCAATCTCAGTTGTCAAAGCTATTACCAGTGGAAAACAAATAAGCAAACACTAAATAGCCATGTGGATTTTGTTGTAGAAGGTGGATTGCCCTTGGGGCTACGTGGGGGGCATTTCCTGTGAATGTTAATCAGACAAATACTGACAACTGGGAAATGCTTAAGCTGGCTCATGCAAGTAGGAAACAAGATGAGATCCTCCTGGTCTTAGGTGGTGGTGAAACAAATTCCACTGAGCATTATTATGCTAATTTATGCTATTTCTCTGCTAAGTCTCAGTCCTCACTATTACAGTTGGACAGCAATATTTAAATCTCCAAAGGGCTTCCATCCAATCATTCGTTCATCACTTATTGAGGTGTTGGGCTGGTCCTGGGGATATAGGGGTCAGTAAGATACAGTCTTGCCCTGGAGGAGCTTACAATCTAATGTGGGAAACAGATAAGTAAAGAGATTATTATTACAACTACAAACAGAAGCTCTGGGAACATATGAGAAGGGGTGGCCATGATTGGCTTAAGGGGGATGGATTGAGGTTTTAAGGAAAGTTTTTCAGAGTGGTCAACATTGAACCAAACTTCAAATTGGATTTTGTCAATTGGGGCCAGGGGAGTGTCAATTAAGATGGTGCCGTGGGAAATGTCTTTAACAAAACCCCAGCATGTTGAGCGTCTGCAGACCACGCATAAGGTATACATGGGGAAGATAAGAGTGGAGAGGTTGGAGTGGAACATGTAGGGTTATGTACTTTATTCTTTATATCATACAGAACCATTGAAGGATTTTATACAGAGAAGATTTCTCTTAGGAAGCTTGCTCTGGCAACTCTGTGGAGGATGAATTTTATGGGAGTAAAACTGGAATTAGGATTAGTTAGGAGGTTCCTGCAATAGTTAAGAACAGTGATGGCCTAAACTAAGGCAATTTCAGTGGACATGAAAAACCATTGTAATTTTAAATATGTAATAATATTAATAATCATAACAAACAATTTCACAATTTCATAGCATTTGCTATAAGCTAGTCACTAATGCTCATAACATTATGAGCACTATTAAGGAGGTACTATTATTATCTTTATTTTATAGGTAATGAAATTAAAACCAGTGAGGTCAAGGAACTTGTCCAAGTCCATTTGTTACTGAAGTGGGTTATCTCAGGAAGTCGAAGGTCAGGCAGTGAGGATGTGGTTATGTCTGCAGTCAAAGCTTCATTGTCTTGGCATGAATTAACCATGTTAAGGTCCAACAGGGATCTGAAACAAGCTCCCCTCCCCAATAGAGCTCAGAAAATTGGGTTTCTGCCAAAGTTATCCAGGTGGAGATATTTCATTAGTAGCAAGATATAGAAGACTGAAGCTTGAGAAAGACATCTGAGCTAATACAAATAGGTCGTAATTGAAGCCTTATAGGTGAAAAAGATTATTTAAGGAAAATGAATGGAAAACAGAAGAGTTGAGATGAGAGCAGACCAAACTGGAAGAGGTTTGAGGACACCATGGAATGTCAACATTTAAGGGATTGGTAGAAGAAGAAGAATCTATAAGGGAGATGGAGAAGGAGCATTCAGAGAGGAAGGAAGGTAGCTCTTAGAGAGTGAGTTCATGGAGGCCATAAATAAAGGAACTTCAAGAAGAAAGGAGAGAACATTAGGACCAGAAGTTCCAAAGATCTGAGGTAACAGTAAAACCAGAAATTGTCCCTCAGTTTTAATAAACAGAAGGCTGATGGTGACTTTGATAAGGGCAGCCTTAATAGAAGACCAGGAGCAGGATGTTAGATTTGAGTAGGTTGAAAGGCAAAATCTTAGAGTTATTCAGTGCAGACCAGTCTTTTTGAAGAAGATGGTTAGTCAACGTGCACAAGACAGTGTTCACTCAGGAAAACACAGCTGCTATAAGTAATATAGAAATTAGGGATTCCTTATAGAAATTAGTCGCTACACAAATGTGGGAGGAGCTGAGGAAGTGATGGCCTGGAGGGAGGGAATTGGAGGGTCAGAGAAACAGGCACTAAACAGACTGCCTAAAGAATTGCTGCAAGTGGACAAGTTGGGACTTTCAGGAAAATCCTAGAAGCAGGTCTGGTTGGTTCAGTGGGACCGCAAAAGGGAGCTCATGGGCAATTCTGTGGAAACTGCTGCCCAGTGATGGCTGTCAGCTCTGCAGAGCTGTGGCCTCTGTGGGTCTGCTGGTGGACCTGGGGCAGTCATTGGTCAGCAGGGCTGGTCGTCATGGAAATGAGCTAGACATAAAGGAGAGGCAAGCAAGAAGCCAGAACCCACTGAGCACTTCTGCATCTGTTCCTCTGTCACCATGAATAACTGTGGTGACCTTTTGAGAGCACCGCCTTCTGTTTCACCTCTGCCCTCCAAATTTTATGCCAGTTCCTCTACTGGTAAACAATGACCCAAGCCACACAGGGAAGGATGCCCTGGGAAACATGGCTTCCAGCCTTAGCCAAGCTGATAAAACACAGTCCATCATGGAAGGGGAGGAAAAATAAAGGTGGAAGCTTTGCTGTAAGAGATGGCCCTTGAGAATGCTACAGAGCACAATGTTGTAGCACTGTGGCAGTCACTGAGTGTGGAAGAAACATAAAAGGGTGCAACATAAGACATGGGTAGAAGGATTAGCCTATGACAGGAGAATGGACTCTGAATTCTTGGAGGAAGGGAAGGTGGCAAGGATGTATGTGTCCATGGATACCTTCATAGGTAGAAGGGAGGGTGGAAAATGTAGAGCCCTCTTTGTAGAGATGGAAAGGAGTAAATGAAGCCCAACATGGGAATATAATAGGTCGTAAGTAAAGCCAAGACCTTGGGATTTTTCTGTGAGGCCAGGAAAGAGAATAGTGCAGCTCTAAGAGGAATCATGTAGCTCAAAAGCGCGTGACTACAGACTGAGTAATTGAATAAAGACTGAGAGTTTGGTTGCTAACAGCAACATGGACAAGGAAAAGCACAGTTTTTACTGATCTGGAAAAAGAGCTTTTGCAACGCAAGGTGTGATTCAGTGCAGGGAAGGAATTGCATTTTTATCACTTCTGTGTCCAGCACAGTGCTCTATTTGTATTTGATGAATTGAAGTGAAAAAGTGGCAATAAGGAACTCTGAGGAATGGGATGAGCATGGAGATCCTGCAATGGACAGCTCACTTGAGTTTATATTATAACAACAATTAGATCAATATTTAGAGCAGAGTCTCTCAATCTCAGCTTCATTGATATTTTAGAGTGGGTATTTCTTAGTCATGGGAGGCTGTTCTGAACATTGCAGGATGTTTAGCAGCATCTCTAGTCTTTACCCATTAGATGTCAGTAGGAATCCCCCAGTTGTAACAACCAAAAATGTCTCCAGACATTGCTAAATGTCCCCCAGAGAAAATGATCACCCCTAGTTGAAAAACACTGATTTAGAGGGAAGTACCCAACATTGTTCCATTTTGTTAAACTAAACTTCCATTGCACCAGGAGGAATTTGGGGTGAAGATCAAAGAAGCTTCCTGAAACAACCTAGATATCCAATAAAATGTCACATTAGCCATGGTACATCTATATAATATTATGCAGCCCTTGGAAACCATAATGTAAAGGTATATTAATATGAAGATATGCTCCAGAATAATTGAAAAAAGAGTGTATTGTATATATGTGCATACATTTGGCCTTGGCAAAAAAGTTTGAGAGGATATACACCACTTTTGTTAGCAGTGAAAATCTTGGGAGAGGGGAAGGGAATGCAGGAAGAATTACAAGCTTTTCTTTCATTCCTCCTTTGTTTCTGTATTTTCTGCAAACATATACAAATTTTTTTAAAGATGGATATGGGGAGAGGAGGATTTGAAATTTCTTGGCCAAAAGGGTGGGGCTTATTTGTTTATATTTGTTTGTTTTTGATCCTAAAGTTATATGCCAAAGAAGTGCCATAATTTGACCTTTGCAGCAGCTCCTTTAGTGTATGGGTTTTTCTAGAAAAACTGAATCAAGCTTGTCTGCCGGCTGGAGAGTGGGTAAACTGGGCTGTTGCTGCAAACCTCTCCTTCCACCAAGGATGAGTTCAGCTAAGAGAACCACCCAGCAGAAGGGTCTGGAAGAATGTGTACTCAGGTTACTGACCTGGAAGACCCCCTGCCTGCTGATGATCCAATAAAGGGAAAGACAGCCTCAGGCTTCTCTTTGGGAAGGTTCACTCTTTGGCCTAAATTGGCAGGGAGCCTCTTCTGAGTAACAGCCACTCATTGGGCTGCATGCATATTTTTAATTACCCCTTGGCTCCAGCAAGCAGCTCTCTCCCTTCCCCACAGGCCATAACCCTGAAGAGGCAAAGCCTTCAGGCTTCAGTGAGTCAGCCCCACTAGGGCCAGAGAAGAACAAAATAGGGGGAGGACAGTTAATGTGGGGGATCCTGGACACCCGAAGACAGTCAAGTGATGGGCAGCTAGGAAGCTTACATTTCTTCTGCAGGGCCT